TTTTTTACGCTCACGCTCCTTATATGCGTGAAATACACGATTTTGTCCAGTTCAGCGATTAAGTTGCCACATAGACTTGGTCAATGGTCATAGGGGTTTAAAATATTACTTTTGAACGAGTAGAGGTGTCTAGATGAAACTTCATCAAGTTTGGGGACCGGGATGACAAAGTGGCACAAATATAAGTGTCATTTAGACTATTCTACCATATAAAAACAATAAATATAATTGTGGGAGTAAATAATATTTTGGTATACAAAGAAAATTAATTTTTAGATATACACAAAGAAGAAAAATAAACTTTATGATATCTATTTGATATACACATGTCCGATGTGCTATACACTGTGATATAAAAATACTATAATATTTTTATATTGTGATACACATTGATATAAAGGCAGCAATAACTATATATATAATTTTATATTACTGATATACAAAGAATAATATTATTTATATACAAAGAATGAAAATAAATTTTTAATATACATGTTGATCTAGACAAAGAAGAATAAAAAAGTTGTAATATACATATTATTATTGTGAAATACATTTATTGATTATTTGATGCCAATATCTATAACTAGGTCTATTTTCTGGCAATTATATAGGTATGTTGTTATACCATGCCAAAACCCCAAAAAACAATATAAGACAAATTGCAAAGAGAAGCTCGGGAATTGCTCTGAGTTATGGGCTGCTCTAATTCATCAACGTAGGCCTCATTAGAACTAGCCCAATATTGTGCTCTTAAGCATAAATTCCAGAAGATTCGACGTCCCTAGCCCAGCCCACTTTAAAAGGGTACAAAATTAGGGTTTCAGGATCACTTAGGCTTATATAAGCCCATGCGGTAGCTTAGTCATAGTATAGTAGTTGTTACATAGCATTCCCTTCAGTTTGATCCTTTCTCCTCTTCTATGTGCTCCTATTTGTCATTGCAATCCCTTTGATTAGATTTGTGTTGTTTCTTCTTCTAATTTTCTTAGAGTTGAAATCAGATGATGAGAAAATAACTGCAACAATATGATGGTAAATTCCATGATTCTTAGTATTTAAGTCTCTGATGATTTCTCAATATTTTTCTGAAACGGATTCCCTTTTATTGCTTTATATTAATTTCTGAATTTTCTATTTTTGCTCATAGTATTTGGGAGAAGTGATGAACAAATTTGGTCCGTGTTTCTGATTGCACAGTGACAGATAAATCCATTATTTTACTCTCCTGATCTCCCACTAATTCCTAATTTTTCATGTCACAATTACGTTTCCCTTTGTCTGTAAGGCTGTGTACATCCTACCCTCCCTAGACCTCACTTGTGGGATTACACTGGGCTGTTGTTGTTGTTTAATTATGTTTCCTTTTGTTTTTTGGGGCGGAGATCTATGCAGATTTTTGAAAAGCAGTAGCTCAATGATTAGATGCCTTATGGGCAATATACGCTATTCCGATTTAAAGCATGAAGATTGAATTTTTTCTAGTATGAGAGCTATTTGTATTTTTTTAAAGCTTTTGTGGAATTGTTATTTTATGTGTGTTTTGGTTATTTCGCGATTTCTGCCGTGATGAATTCATGAAAATTTCACATGTCAGACTTCAGAGAGAAATCTATGAGAAGAGATTCATGTATCCTGAGCAGAATGCACTTTATATTCAACCTTTGGTGCCTTGTTTCCAAATTAATTAGTATTGCCTAACTTAGTTTCAGTTCAAAACTTATCTCTAATGTTTGGTCGTGTGTAACTTGATTGCTGTGACTGGATGTGTTTTCTTTTGGTTAAACGCTGTGACTGTATGTGTTAGAGGCTGTCAGTTTGTACTAATGATTATGATTAAGTGTTTTATGAAATTTCAGATTGAACGTTCGTATTGAAATATAATAAAAATTTGACAGTGAAAACTGCTTTCTTTTAAAATGTTAGTAGCATCAAATATATTACTACTTCTATAATTAATCAAATAGCAGCGTCCATGCCGTCATTTTGGCTATCAAAGCACAACCACCAGAGGCTTTAGGCCTTTGAAAAGGAAAAGGGAGAAAAGTAAAAGAAAACTGATTCCTCTTTCAGAACCTCAAACTACGAATTCTTAGCCAACCAAATATTATAGTAATCAGTTCATTGAATAATTCAAGAACTATTTCAAAAAGCTAGTTGCTCAAGACGTTCTATTGTATATCTCAAAGTGTAATTAATAGTAATAACTTGACTCAAAATATAATCTATAACTGTAATATTTTGGGGCGTTAGTCTTTGAGTCCGAAACTTAAATGATAATTTTTTGTACAAAAAGTACTTTTTTAATGTTTTAAAAAAAAGGTACATTAATGGGTATGTCGCAGTTTTATATTGCACGAATTTTTTGCCGTTAAGGCATTTCGTAGTATAAAACTGCGAAATATTAAAAAAATAATTTTTTATGACATTTCGTAGTACAGTACATTGAAAAATTGTACACCCTAAGGTCGGACTTGTCTTATTTATAGGCGCTTCAATTTTATAAAAATTCATTCAACACTTAGACTTTAAACATACGATTATTTTCTCTTCTCCTTATCAATCAATTTTTACTATGTCTGAAGTGCCAAAAATAAGGGTTTCACTGTATTGGGGGGGGGGGGGGGGATGAGATTGTGGTGGAGAATAACTCTGTGAGGTATAGCTCACCTCCATAGTGTCATGTTAAATTGCCGCTTGTACGATGCATTGGTATCGGTGCTACGTAAAAAAATGAGTGAGCGGAGGCGTTCGGTTAGCCTTAGGTAGATTTCCTTATTCAGTGACTCCGCAGGGGTTTGCTTATTATTCTGAGTTTAACATCGAGGATGATGAAACTCTTAGAGATTTTTTGCGGATTCCGGATGAATACAGGGAATTTATTGTAATAAAATTATTGGAAATGTACGTCAAGGTGGAAGACGTTCTTAGTAATGAGGGTGTGCATAGCAGGGATAACCCCCAGTCATCGGGTGGTTATTCTGGAGCAGCGTTTGCCGGACAGATTGGAGATGAAAGAGCTTGCCTTGATTTAAACTTGTCACCACAGGCGAATGAGCAGCCAGAAAATAATGTTTCCACTTTATATAATCAACAAGAAGACTGGTAAACTTCAATTTTACTACGTTTTAGCGATTTTTTTTTCATGTTTTAATTGGATTTGTATTAACACTCATATTTTTTATAGGGGGTACCGTCCGGATTTGAATTTTACAAGTTATGACCTCGCCCTTAGTTGGAATCTGCGTAGGTTTGGAGTATTGGACCATGATGGTCCATCTGGGAGTTATCACCAACCTGAAAATATCCATCATGAAACGTCAAGACAATACGATTTGTAAGTAAAGTGATATAGCGATATCTAAAGTATTTTTCCTGAGTATTGGGTAACTTAGGTTTTTGTTCGTTTTGTGCAGTGAAAATGAGCTTCTTGAAGCTCCTGGCCTCACACAGTTGCCCATAGACGACGTTTTTACTCGTGATTTGGCAGATGCGCAGAGTCAGGAGGATGATAGTGATTATGACAACAATGCGGATGAGTCTGGGGATGACACCCTTCCATGATGAGGGTGATGATGAGGAGGAGGAAATGAATGTTGAACCTGAGCTGACTAGGGAGCATGTTCCTCCACCTCCCGCTAGACCAAGAGTGTATGAGTCCCACGTGCCATTTCATGAGCGAAATATTCCCTACCTTGATAATTTGCCAAGCATGCCTAACGTTGATGCCCTAACAAGGGATGATGATGAATTACGGTCAGTGATGTGGGATGAATCTAGACCAGCTGTTCTTACAAAGGGCATGTATTTCCCCGATAAAGCTCGCCTAGTTAGGGCTGTAAAAATCTACAGTATAAGGGAGTGTCGTGAGATGACGGTAAGTGAGTCAACTACGGAGAAATACAAGGCTGTATGCCGTAGGTGGTTTATGGGTTGTCACTGGATGCTGCGTGCCACAAAGAAGAAATCAGGTTTGTGAAAAGTGGGTAAATTTATTAGCGAGCACAGATGTGAAATGGACACATTCAATGAGAATCACTTCAACTTGGATGTGGACTTGATTTCCCTTGTCTTGATTCCATTTTTGGAAGTGTCCATTAGGTTCAAGATTAAAGAGTGTATTACAGCCGTCCACCAGGAGTATGGTTGTACTATAACCAAAAGAAAGGCATATCTCGGTCGCAAACGTGCCTTTGAACTTATTTATGGCGACCGGGATAAGTCTTTTTCAAATCTGCCCAGGTACATGGCCGCACTGCAACACTTTAACCCCGGGACTATTGTTGAATGGAGGCATGAGCGGAGTCCGGACAGACCGGAATATATATTCAACTATGTATTTTGGTCATTTAAACCAGCAATTGATGGTTTTGTGCATTGCCGTCCTGTAATTTCCATAGACGGTACTCATGTCTATGGAAAGTATGATATTAAGCTTTTGAATTGCAATTGCTGTAGATGCCAACGGACAAATATTTTCACTAGCTTTTGCCATTTGTGCCAACGAAAGTGAAGAGACGTGGACGCAGTTCTTGAACCACTTGAAGCAGCACGTTGTCAAACAGCGTTCAGGTATTTGTCTAATATCTGATCGGCATGGTGGTATTTTAAGTTCTGTACGTCACTTGCCTAAATGGCAGGAACCATATGCATACCACCGTTACTGTGTGAGGCACCTGAAGGCCAATTTCCAGAAGAAATTTCCTGACAAGGCGTTGCATGACTTAATGTGGATGGCTGTAACTGAGCACCAACTGTGTAAATTCACGAGGCGCATGGAAGTGATCCGGCAGATAGAACCACGAGCCTATACTTGGTTGATGCAACATGACCCTCAAATGTGGACATTGCATGCTGATGGCGGCAGACGATGGGGAGCCCTCACTACAAACGTGCCGGAGTCATTCAACGGCTTGTTGAAGTCTGCCCGTGGACTGCCTGTCACTGCCATGGTCCGCATGACTTTCAAACAGAGTGCAGAGAGGTTTGTTGAAAGGCATGCAGCTGCATCGTCATTGATGGACAGGGGTGTTGAATTTATGCCAATACCCATGACAAGATTTGAAAGGTACAGGAGGCGGGCACAGTGACATTCATTTCTTCAGTATGATCATGAACGGGGTATTTTTGAAGTTAAGACCGCTATCAACGGACACCGTGGGAATAATCTACAGACGGTGAATGAAAATAGAAGGTTATGTTCATGTGGGAAATGGACCATCTACCACATGCCGTGCCCACATGCATTGAAGTGCTTTCAACAAGTTGGATATGGGGCAACAAACTACATTGATAGGCAATACAGTGTTGCAGCATACGTAGACACGTATAGTGGGAAGTTGTATCCATTAGGTGCTGATCATTATTGGCCGCCGGAACCTTTTAAGTTGGTATGTAACAAGGACTATTTGCGCAAGCTGAAAGTGCAAAAGAGAACGCGTATACGGAACCAAATGGATGTTGGTGAGTCCGTTTATGCGCGTAAATGTGGCATATGCTCTCAAACTGGACATGACCGTCGTAAGTGTCCTTCAGGTGGTGGGCGTGGCGGTGGTAATCCTGGTGCAAGTTCGTCCAATGTACCCAACTATCAAGCATACCCCTAGTCCTTTATTTTGAAAAAGCTGAGAAGCATGTGAAAACCCTGTTTCGTGTCAGGGTCATTTAATATGTTATTCGTAGTATAATACTACGTTTTGTGGATTTGACATGTCCTACTGAAAAAGCTGAGAAGCACGTGGAAACTCTGTTTTAAGTCATTGAAATTTACTATGTAATTCGCAGTATTATACTACGTTTTTGTTTGAAATCTTGACTATAAATAACGGTTGTATGGTACTTATATTCTTCGCATAACAATAACCAAAGTTTCTCTATAAGAAATGTTTGCACAAATCTTGACTCTAATGAATGATAAAGCCACGCGACTGCCACCCCGGTCACCCTGCGATCTCGAACCAGTCAACTGCGCCATCATGTCCGCCAACTGTGCACGTGTCATCCCTCTCCAGTGGTGGGGCAGTGCGAAGGTGCGCCCCTCTACGCGCAGTCCATATAAAACCTGGACATCCTGCAGCGTGATAGTAGCCTCTCCAGTGGGCAAGTGAAATGTATGCGTCTCCGATCGCCACCGCTCTACCAAGGACGTGATGAGCGACCAATCAAGCTGCATCCGTCCAAGCTGAAAAATGGTATATAATCCCGAAGTCTGGAGGATCTCTACTACGCGCGGATGGAAACGATGCTCCGCAATAAACTCCCACAAATCATCAGGCCTCCTAGGGCGGAGAGGCTGCATCGCTAGCTGTCCCTCCCAAACATAGGATGACCTATGGTCGCCCTGCAGCACTAGTAGCTGATCCTCGGCAGGTCCAGGATGCGCAGGCGGAGGAAACGCCATGTCGTCTACTATAATTTAAACAAAATTAATTGTTTGTGTTAGTGTAATAAATTAAATTAAGTATGATTTTTGAAATTGGAGATAATAGTTATGTATGGGTTCCAGGCTTGATTTTTGACGCCCGGTGCCACCGAATAATTCTTAATTATTATAAGTCTCAATTTCAACATTTTTAGATTTTTATTAACTTAATAAATTAAATTAAGTATGATTTTTGAAATTGGAGATAATAGTTATGTATGGGTTCCAGGCTTGATTTTTGACGCCCGGTACCACCGAATAATTCTTAATTATTATAAGTCTCAATTTCTACGCTAAAAGGCTCTACATTTTACTACGCTAAAAGGCTCTACATTTTACTTCGCTAAAAGGCTCTATATTTTACTTCGCTAAAAGACACTATATTTTACTACGCTATAAGGCTATACAATATGAACATAACATCAACAATACAAATAAACAAAATAAA